GTTAAAAATATGAATAATTCGAATACTAATATAACTTCGTCGATTAAAAAAAGAATTTTTACTCTCAGTTTTCAACCCTTTCTGGCCCCTCGGAATAAAAATTGATAAAAGATACGAAAATTTCGTGGACTATAAAAAGCAACCATTTATTATACACGTTGCGAGCACAAATTCGAGCTAAATTTTTCGTCGATTAAAAAAGGAATTTTTATTCTCAGTTTTCAACCCCCTTGGAATAAAAATTGAGAAAAAAGGTATGAAAATTTGATGAACTATAAAAGACTTATTTATGTTACACGCTACTAGCATAGATTCGAGTTAAATTTTCTCAGCGAGGTCATGGAACCGGATTAGAATAAAATTGATCGGAACACGTCGGCTGATTTTTGTTTATCCATCGCGGCAGAATTGTGGCGCGAGCGTTTCGAATAAATTGCAGCCGGATTTGCATCGTTGCCTTATTCATAAACGATGTCGCGGCGCAATAATTACACAAGATAGACGCACGGATATTGGTGTTCGGACAATGTAATTACGATCGATGTACGGGATCCACGATCGTTCGCGAAACATGGAAAATACGTGTTAAACTAGCCGCCGTAACAGCGGGTAATGTACAACGATAGACAGTTATCGTCGTATCGTTGTACGCTACTGAATATTCTATAGCCACGGGAGATCGTGTTGGCGAATTATCTGATTCGAGAAAGCACGTATGGGGGCTTGACTTCTGTCAATGAATTACTTTCAGTGGTTGTTCTTTCAAAATGTTTCACCCCGGGAGCCTAGGGGGCCACTCGAATATACCGCAAATATTCCAACGATTCGAATATCTAAGCATTCGATCGCCGACATTCGAATAGTTCTGCGCGCATAATATCACAATTGCATTCATTACAATATTCGTTGCACCGAATATATGCTACCAATCGATCTCGATTTTAAAACAATCTAAAAATAGAAAACAGTTTACGAGTTTTAACGATTACCATTAACTATAAGTGTGTTTACCTAATCTTTGGTCAGATACGGTTTGTGGATATTTTTTAAATAATAATGCATACGTAATGGCTTGAAAATTAATTTTAAAGTGGTGATGTTTTTATGTTAGATAGGGACGCGATAGTTTTTTTTAATTTATTTATTTTACAGTACTACAAATTATGAGTTGAACATTTCTTAAGTCTGAGATGTGTTTAGTTAAGAGGATAGGGAAATTAGAAATTATGAATTTTCTGTTATAGATCATAAATGATGTTAGTAACTGCCATTGGGAAAATCGGATATCGTTGGTCGTTTGTTTCAAGTGAAATATGAATTTTGCACAAGTGTCTTGATAAAATCAAAATTTCGATGTTGGCACGCACTTACCCAGAACTCATATTTCATATTCGTTGTAAAAGACGTCGCAGAAAGTGCTTCTAAATCTATTAAATCGTACCACTGCCAGTGTTTCAGCGGGGTAACTTTCGGCTCACGAACGAGTCGCGTTCCAAGACATTATTCGTTATGCGTATCTCACATTCCTGACTTTATATAACACATGAAAATGAAATGAAACGTAAATTTATCAGTAAGATTTAAATTCTCTTCCAATTAAAATTTTTATATTTAAAACAAAATTTTTAAGAACACATAAAAAAGGAAAGAATCATACATATATCGACAAAATTTGTAATTCTCTCAACATTAAAATTTTTATATTCAAAATAAAATTTAAAGAACACGAAAATATCGAAAGGATCATAAATTTATCAACGAGGATTTTAATTATTTTAACATTGCAATTTTTATATTTAAAATAAGATTTTCAATTGCAAATTAAATAAATGCATAGAATAGAAATAAATTATAAATATATTGATAAAGGTTTTAATTTCTTCGATATGATATGTTATATGTTTAAAACAAAATTTTAATTTAGAAATTACAAAATACGTATTGTATTTTCGTCTGAATCGTCCCATAGTGAAAATACTATGAGAATAAATATTCTTTTAAGCAAGAAAACTATGTTTTAATAGAATTTTTTAAAAATTGACTGTTTCTCCTTGATTACTGGACGAAATTCGGTTTCCACGGGGAAGTGTTCAAAATACACATATTATAGCCGCGAAATAGCTATCCTTTTGCGGTAACAGTGGACATAAAGTTCGAAGAAACCTGTATTCGTGTTTATTGGTTCGCAGTTAGATCGAGTGAAACACGACGCGACAGCCGTCGGCGGAAATTTGTTGCGATTACGTTGCGTCGAACATCGTTCGATACTCATTCGAGATCAATTATCATTATATCTTCGCTGATCACTGTTGGGTGTCCCCTTATCTTAAAAATCGGAAAGAAAAGTAACCTTTGGATCCATTTATTAATTTTCTTTTTATACGAATAATTATCATCGTGAGCACTTGTGTCCACAAAATACATATTCAATTCAGTCATACCAAGCAATGCGTATTTAAAAACTTTCTATCTAGTCTAAATCACTATTATTCCACTCCTAATTTCATCGAACGCATAATTTACAATTTTGCACAATTTTCTTCGAACAATAAATAATTAACGAGGGCAATTTCCAGCAATTTATTCGATCGAACTGTCAATGTTTGCTTGATTCTTGCAAAATATCCCATAATTGAAATTTTTATTTAACGAATAACAAATGGGCATCTTTGTTTTGTTATTCAGAATTTTCTAGAAAACAATTTTCTTCGGGTAACAGAAAATGTGTTGGAAAAACAGGATAATAGGAAATGGAAATGTAAACTATGTTATTGCAATTTAAATATCGTCTCAACACGAATAAAACTATTTTTGGTCTTTGTATAACAAAAATGTTTCAATGTCATTTCTTTTTAACACCATCAATTTTTTATTTTATGGAGTTGAGTCCTTTTATTTGTAACACGTCTATCTGTAGGTTATGGCGACGTACACGTGGTTACGTTTATACAGGTTCTTACATGTTAAATGAAATTGTAATGACAAACATAATCATTTTTTTCTATGTTTGAAAATCACAAGAAACAAAATTTGTAAATTACGTTGTACGTTCAAGGAAGTTAGAATGCATACAAATATAAGTTTATAAGATGGAATAAATGAGAAAAGCTATTATTGTTTTAGGTTAAATGTGAATGTTATGCCGTCATGTTAGAAAATTAATAGAAAATTGTTTCTATGGTATATTTCACTAATGTGTGATGAAAAAAGGATTTGAAACGTGCTTTTATTCTGTAATAATAATATATATCATAAATAATAATATATTATTCAAAAAATGTGTAGGTTGTTGCAAATCGTTCCTTTTAAATTCATTCATTAAATATAACATATAAACAAAAAATAGTCGATACACTTATTTTGTTAATTATATATTATGGTTAGTGTATAGACGTTGCTGATGGATCGTTACAAATAATATTATTTCGGATTGTTTATCGTTATTACAAGACTAAAAAAGTTTCGAAATATGAATATTAAAAACGACGTGGAAAAGTTTGAGAGAATTTATGGGAAGCGATCGGCAATGACGCGATTTTGGAACAAAACGTTTTATCGAAGTCCATTGTCGTTTTACGATGACTCGTTTATCGATGTATAATATCACGATATTGGATTAACGCGAATCCATCAATTAGAACATTTTCCGCAAATTTTGGCACGAACGCGAGCCAGCCATCGTTCGATCCGATTATTGCGCTTCCAACGTTTCCCCGTCCATAAAATATTCACTGACGCAGATCTGCCACGGCTGCCATTTTCTACGATTTCGCGCGACTATCATGTCTCGTAATGGCTTTAATGTTTGACAAAAAATAATTTATTGGATTCGAGGATACGTTCTTACGGATTTTACGAATAATCTAGAGTACGTACGCTGTGCAAATTCACGGTTCTACGTTTCAAACGCGAAATGCAATGGAAAATTGTTGGATTTTCGAACGAATTTAATTATTGCAAATACATACGTATTAAAACTTATCTACATTACAATTTAATACGATCTATTAGGGTGTCGATAAGTGGAGGGGATCGTCGCTAAGCAACAAGTAGACACGAGACAGTAGTGGGGATAGACTGTGAATGGCTAGTAGTCGTTGGATTAGCTACCTCGCTTATTGCAACGAACGTCGGTCACGATTTCTTGCAGTTATCGAGGTTCTACAGCACGTTGGCCAGAAAAACTTTTAAAAACACTCGTTTAATCGACGAGTTAAACGAAAGAAAGAAATCTATCGTATCGTATATTGTTTTGTTGATAATTACTCGAAGCTTCTGTTAGGGATTCTGACCAAACATTTTCTGTTTTCACTTAATGGTTTTCAAATTTTCAATACATCATTCGACGTTTCAACCACATATGAAAATTCTCTTATTAATAAAATCCTTTTATTTCTATCAACGACCAAGCAACTATGTTCTACTAAAAGTTTTTAAATTTAGAATAAAATCGCGCGTATGTTTCACTTCGATTTAAGATATTAAATTTTCAAAATTCGAACTTGATGTATAATTTGACTCGACAGTTCAGGACATGCACGTGGTCGAAACAACGAATACAATATTTAGGAAATAAAGAAAGTAGCCCTAACGAACAGAATTTACTTAACACTCAAACTTTTCGACTCGACGTTTCTTCTTCGATATAATTTCAAAGAAACAAATATTTAAATAAAAGATTACGAAGTTTTCAATACTTTCAACTTTGTAATTAATGTTTCCAATTATTACAATACAATTCGGTTAAATTAATATTTGTGTTACATCTTGCTTTGTAATGGAGCTTTTCTTGAACAAACGAGAACACAATTTCAAGGGGGATCCAACCGTCGCGTCGTGTCGAAACGTTTGCGTGATAAATCACGTTCGTTAAGCATTTTTTAATTTATTCGTTATTTCCCCGGCGAAAGGTGATTCGTCAGTAACGATTATGTCAGTTTCGAGACGAAAGATCCGCGATCGGTTAATAAAAAGTTGGAATACATGGGTGGTATACGTACTTTGGGAAGTGAGGTCACCAGGCTCGTGCTGTATGTTAACGGGTGAGATTTTCACTGACCTTGGAGGGCCCTGAAGGCTGAGGGGCCCGGGCCCCCCGGCAGTGCCCAACCTCTGCATCGCCGCACCCCCGATTTCCATCGCTCTTCCAGCCCTGCGCACCTCTTTCGACGATTTTCGAGCAATTTTGAGGCCTTCGCGCCAAGTACGACCGCCGGTCGTACTTACTTTCTCGAAATAACTTGACGAAAGTTCGAACCTCGAAGGCTACACCTCCTTTTCTCGAATCACAGTGTACGAGCCGCGGACAAGTCGTTGTTTCTATCTTCGTGCACTCGACGACACCTCGTCCGAGCGTCGAGAACGAAATTTTTACGATTCGAGCTTCCACTTTCCACTCAAAAACCAAAAAAACCCAGTCTCCTCGATCGTTCAAAGTACGGAATAATTCGATCAACACTCGCTCATCCCCGGAAGTTTCGCGCTAGATTTCGGAGAATCGTTGATTTCACATAACCAAAAAAATCGACGCACAGATATCGCTCAGAGTCTCGTACGCACAGGTTTCACGCTCCGATCGACGGATCCGCGCATCGGGTTTCGCACGTCCGACGACAGTTCGCCGGAACCCACGCCATTTTGCTTCGTTTACGTCCTCCGGGAAGGGTACTACGCCGACAGGAACTCACTGTTACCGACGACGATCGCTCTCCGCGCGACTTCCGGCCGTCATAACACGGCTACCTCGATCGCGGATGCTCTCAATACCTCGTCACTCGCGTTAATCCATCCGTTTGGATCACTCGAATTCTTCCGAAGTCGTCCACGGCTACCTTTCCAGAGCCGACTGATCGATCCTCCGCATTCTTGCCCGCGTTTCTGCGCAGATCTGTCGAGCCTTCGCGATCCACCGTCCGGCACGATTGCTGGGCTGGTCCTGCGTACCCTTCGATAGATCCCAGCGTCGATCGTGGCCGGTATCCCAGGGTTTTCAGCGTGTTTCCAGGCTCGTGGCCACCTGGACGTCCGGTGGGATCAGCGGGAACCGTGACCCTGGGGTTGGATTCCGGGACACGCACCATCCATCACCAAAAAGGAGCGTCGAGAGTCGCGCGCGTGTACGATTATTCCGTTATCACTCGCGGGCGGGAGCGGGCGTCGATCGTGGTGGCGAACGCGAGAGGATATATACCGACGAGAACGGGGTGGACGGGGGAGAGGGAGAGGGCTCGAGGCAGAGAGAGAAGGAAGAGAGAGAAAAAAGAGAGAGAGAGAGGACACGTTACACGACACAACACCAACGAAACTGACGGCGCGGGGCCCTGGGAGGCACTGACTGCCGGTTAGGCTCCTATAGAACCCAACCTAACCACCCGAGGCCCCCACCTTCTAGGTCGACCTTTTCGACCCCACTCCGAGGTCGGTTACCACCACCCCAGGTTCCTCGATCACGTCCTATCCGGTGGCGAGGATCCGTGCCTCGGTTCCACGCCGACGTCGAACCATTCGTTCTCCCGATGGAGTCGACTCTGTCGCTTCCACGCCTCCTGGGGGCAGCTGCGGCACACTTGGCCGGCTCGAGCCGCCAACAAAATGGCCGACAGACCTAATCGATTCGTACCCTACCCTCTCCTCTGCGTTTTATTTCGCCTCTTTCTCGCGTACAAGCGATACCTTCTCTCTCGCGCCTCCTACGTTCGTCGCCGCTGGGTCCTCCAGCTTACGCGATCGCGTCCTCGACGCCCGGTGGCCGCAGCCACCCGAAAGACGCTACGCGTCCCTGACAGAGCCAAATCAGTTCGCGGAGTCGTTCGTCGATCGGTGGTGAAAACTTGCCCTTTCGAATTCGATAACCATAGAAATTCATCGCTAGACTGTGGATCTCTATGCAAATTCATATTTTTCTTAATAGAATCGATGAAATGGGAGCTTCGTAGAGGGTTGTCTCGACCCTTCGATATAATAATTCGTATCTTCCTTTATTTCTCATACGTTTGTAGCTTTTTGAAAATTAAAATTTTCCATTGGATGCATAAACATCCGCAGTCTATTCATCACGGTGTAACTAATTTGCAAAACTAATTGTAAAACTAACAGTATCAAAGTTGTGAATATAATTGGAACCAAATCAGTTCACAGAGTCGTTTGGTGCAAACTTGCCCTTTCTAATTCGAGAACCATCGAAATTTAGAATTTCACTGCGGATCTATATGCATTGAACACTCTTATCATATTTACATTCATATTCTTATAAATAGAATTAGTGAAATGGGAGCTTCGTAGAGGATTAGATCGTTCTCTTTTGGATGAAAGTACACGCTGAAAATTAGCCATTTAAAAAAAGAAAACTAAATGTAAAATACGTAGAACTACACTTTTGGGACTAAGAATGGTTGAAATATCCTGCAAGTGTCAAGATGGCAACGATCAAACTCCATCAAACATTGGCGATATATAAATCTACTTAAAACCAGCAATATCAAAGTTGTGATTGTAATCGAAGCCAAATCAATTCACAGAATGGATCGTCGATCTTACCCGAACGATGGTGCAAACTTGCCCTTTTGACTTCCGGAAACCGTCGAAATTGATCGCGGTGTAACGTTACAGTTGCTTTCATTTTTTTTTTTTTGGGAGGGGGGGAATAAAACATTGTTTCTAGTCGTTTGTTTACGTCTGATGCCAACGAACGTAGTGTGTTGATCGCGTGATCAATGCGTTTGATGAATTTTGTGAGTTCGGATGCACTGTAAGGTTTCGTGATCGATGGTCAACTTTTGTTGAGATTATTGAAGATTATTGGAGATTATTTGAGATTATTAGTAATACAATCGCACGTTTTGTGTAAGAATAGATTATTGACTGAACAAAATTTTGTACGTTTCCTTTAGATCGTTAAAACAAGTGTTTCTCATAGAATATTATCAATGTTCGGTAAAATTAATTAGTAACGCAAAGGGGAGGCGATGAGAAAAATAAACCTTGTCGAAAAATAAAGATAAGGGGTTAACCCCTTAAAAAAAAATGTTCTATGCAACAGAGATTGCTTTTATAATAGTTGTATCGATCTTGCTTTCCATGCACGTATAAAGGATGTTAAAACAAAGCAAATATCGCGCGGACTAGTCTCTCGCCGCGCCATCTTGTCAGTGACTCCGAGTCTACAGAAGTTGATCGCTGCTACTCTTATTAAAATTAAAATAATCACAAATTTTATCATTCAAGTTTGCACATTTGATATTATTCATTTATTTACATAATTCTTTGATATACCAAAGCTTCTCCGACAATCGATTCAATCGTTTTTATAAGTATTCCTTGTAGATAAGGAACCACCATAAATTACAAAATGACTCCAATGTCAACAAGATAAAGAAGGATCCAAAGAAAAATTTTGTATTCCATATTTTCTAGAATGATTAAACTATCGTTTGGATCACTGATTACTGGACACCCTGTACGTTTCAACCAGCAGTGAACGTGTTAAGACCGTGACCGTAAGAGATGTTTGAAAAAATGGCGACGAGTCGTCGACAGGTCCGGTGAATAAAGGCTACCAGTTTATTTTCTACGCCAGTGATTCTTAACCACCATGAAACAGGAAACACATTTTTTATAGTTTTCAAAGTTCTCGCTGTAATTATTTATCGTCAAGAACTGGGGCCGGATTCGTTTCGCGTAAACCGTGAGCTCAAGAAGATTCAGAATTTTTTAGTAAAAAATCTTGGGGCAATAATGAAGAATATCGTTACATGATGATATTAAAATGGTGATATTCAAATCGTGGTTTTATTGTAGTATATATAATGGTATTTAAATGGTAATACTCAAAGGATGATATTCGAATAATAAAAGAATAGTGGTATTCAAAAGGTAATAATCGAACTGTGATATTCGAATAATGGCACCTAAATAATAGTATTTAAATAGTAATATTCAAACAATAATATTCAAATAATAACATTTGAGGAATGGTATTTCAATGATAATACACAAATCGCTGATATTCGAATAATGGCATCTAAATAATAGTATTTAAATAGTAATATTCAAACAATAATATTCAAATAATAGCATTTGAAGAATTGTATTTCAATAATGATACTCAAATTGCTGATATTCGAATAATGACATTCGACTAACATAATAAGGATAGTAATATTCGAATACTGGTATTCAAATGGTAATACTCAAACGGTGATACTCGAATAATGGCACCTAAATAATAGTATTTAAATAGTAATATTCAAACAATAATATTCAAATAATAGCATTTGAAGAATTGTATTTCAATAATGATACTCAAATTGCTGATATTCGAATAATGACATTCGACTAACATAATAAGGATAGTAATATTCGAATACTGGTATTCCAATGGTAATACTGAAACGGTGATATTCGAATAATGGCACCTAAATAATAGTATTTAAATAGTAATATTCAAACAATAATATTCAAATAATAGCATTTGAAGAATTGTATTTCAATAATGATACTCAAATTGCTGATATTCGAATAATGACATTCGACTAACATAATAAGGATAGTAATATTCGAATACTGGTATTCCAATGGTAATACTGAAACGGTGATATTCGAATAATGGCACCTAAATAATAGTATTTAAATAGTAATATTCAAACAATAATATTCAAATAATAGCATTTGAAGAATTGTATTTCAATAATGATACTCAAATTGCTGATATTCGAATAATGACATTCGAATAACATAATAAGGGTAGTAATATTCGAATACTGGTATTCCAATGGTAATACTGAAACGGTGATATTCGAATAATGGCACCTAAATAATAGTATTTAAATAGTAATATTCAAACAATAATATTCAAATAATAGCATTTGAGGAATGGTATTTCAATAATAATACTCAAATTGCTGATATTCGAATAATGACATTCGACTAACATAATAAGTATAGTAATATTCGAATACTGGTATTCAAATGGTAATACTGAAACGGTGATATTCGAATAATGACATTTGAATAGTAATATTTGACCAATGATATTCAAATGGTGATACTCGAACAATAATATCCCAGTACCGTGACATTGAAATTGCATTCGTCAAGTATTCGAATAGTCTCAACCTTACTCAGAGGACGTTTGGAGGCAAGTAGTCAGTTACGAGTTAACTCGGGCTTGGCAGTCGACGGTGTTAATGCATTCTTTCGTTCTTTTTTTTGCCCCGTGGAAGCTCGGGATTGATGGAGGTTCCGCGGTTCTTGTCTCGACGCTGCTTTTTTTGCCGCGTGATTGGGGATATTTCACTGCTTTATTGATTCGCCGCACTCGGTATTACGCCCAACCCTTTGTCCCTCGCGGGCTCTCGAATAGTTCGAGTTTACGTTCGCGGCGTGTCTAGCGTGATTATTTCATATTTATTTT